ATAAACAAAAGGTTCTCCAACTCTACAGTGGGTAGGGGTAAAACGGAGAGGGCGAATACGCATATTTGTCTGTTGACAGAGAAAATCGTGGAACTTTCGTGACATGAACTGAGGCACCTTGTCATCCACCAATGGCACCGGGGACCATTGCTAGCTGAAAATTTAGCCCAGCACCTGTAGCGTCATGATGGGTGTTAGGGGTGCCACCTGCGGTGCCTTTTAAAAGGCATCTACCAGAACGAGGCATGAGTGTGAGTGAGGCTACTCTGCCTAAGGTCAAGGTAGTGGTGGTGGTTTTGGACGATTCTTTGCTTTCTGTTAAACACGAATAGGGCGCGGGGCTGAGGTAAAGTTTTTTGACGATTGGATTTGACTGCTCGGAGAATTTTGCAGTGATACACATCTACTTATTTTTTTCTGATACTTTAATTAGACCCGGTTTGTTAAGCTAGTCGTAACCAAGTAGATTGAAATTGGCCCTTGCTAGGTACCACATTCTGGTGGATGCTGTTTCATGGAAGGCTTCTGAGCAACAAAGTTGCCAAGGGAGACTCAGTTTGTCAATGCCGACACCAGTGGCTTTTCGGGGTGCCTGTAGGACTGATGGCTTGTCAAGTCAACGCCACATTTCCTCCAACAAAATAGTGATGTCAGCACAAGTGCCAGCTGTTATCGCGTTGTGCAGGCACCGAGCTGGACGGTGATGAATCTTCGACGCCAAAGTACGTTCACCTGAAAGACAAGCATTGTGCTGGATGGTTTTGAAGCTTTATTAATCATGTTTTGACTGCGCTCTCCAAGCTGGATGATCGGGATCAGCAGCATCTATCGTTTTGATTAGAGGGAACGTCTGCGCCGGACCCCGCTTTGGCAGCACAGAGTAGGAGGCGTTCCTTTGTCCTTGATGCTGGCATGTTGGCTTTCGGAGGCCATTTGGATTTGGAGAGACTGGATCGCTGTGGCACGGTCTGGCTGGGATCCCTTCGCCTTTAAACTAAATCAAAGCATTGCCACGCTAGCATAGTCAGGCGTCGATATCCAGCGTCGCAAGTGACCGCCTCGAGTAGTGTTTGGAGCCTGTTCCAGACGATTGGGTAGGTGCACCCGAATTTCCACAAATGTGGATGAATGAAGACTGCAGGTAAAGTGGAACGCTTTGAAATGATTGCGTTTTAGACGTGCGTCAGGAGATCATTGGTTCCTTCCAATAACTGACCTCAAACGTTTGTATCCCGTGTGGAATAAGGACTACTGCTCACTGTGGTGCTGTCACGAGGACTTCTTTGTTTCTTAGAAAGTGCGATACCTCCGATTCCCTGGCAATGTCAAATAGCAGTACTGACGTAACCCAATTTGCAAAGCAGTGTACGAACCTCCTATGCGCCATTCTGCGTAGCAAGATTGACGCTGAACAGGTTCTCGTACCGTTTAAATCTTATCGCCTGGGTCATGGTGGATCTTCGCGGTACTGCCTGCGACAAAGTCAAAAGCACTTGAAAGCTAAATGCCAAATTACACTTTGCTTTGACATATGGCGGTAAGTTACACAATAGCCATTGTCAAGAGATCATTGCCACTTAAGCGTGTTGAGGTTGGTGTTAGCTCCAAAAATGCTCTGCTAGCTTTGACACATTGCCATTGCCACTCCTCTTGATATTCTTCGGATGGACCTCCTGTTTCTACGATTTCGTGGACAGTCTTGCTGGTGGTCCCCTATAACGAAGTGTTCAAAGCAGAACGGTCACAAGGTCTTCATCAGTTTGGTTTACTGACCTCTGGAGGTTAAATGCGAAATGTCAGAGCTCCACTGAAACATGCGCCAGGAGGTGACATGACATGACATGATATTTATTGATTTCCCACTGATTTTGTTGACAATACAGGGGTGTTTTCAAGCCCTACTGCTGCACAGTCTAGCCACCGTTAACTGTGGGGGCTAACGAGGCATCCAGTTCACAACCAGTCCTATCTCCAAAAGACGTAGGGTACACTCAGGTGATAGGAAGCTCAGTGTTTCGACGATGTTGCTAAGTCTCTCAGCAACGAACTCGGTGGCGGTGGTGATGGTAAATTCAATCCTCCCAGAGTCTGATTCCCCCATATTTGGTGAATAGTGAGACAAATATACGAACTTTGGAAAAGAAAAGGGCGTTTGTCCCTTCCTGAAATATATTTCTTTCTCTTTTCCTCCCTGCTTGAGCTGATCGGTTTAATTTCCCTTTCACTTCAGCAGGAAAGATTGGGTGATATCCAGGCTTCAGTGTGAATGATTGCCAAGGCTAAGGCATCCCGGAGACATTCATACAACCACTTTTCTTCATATTTCCACCTGCTGACAGTTAAAGGAGATTTTATTGCTACCTTTACAAGCCCTGTCATCTTGGCATGTTGCTGTCGCCTTGACTGTTGGTGATCAAATGGATTCAACTTGTGGGTGTGTCTGCCGTCATTGTGACCTCCTTGTCTCTCTATCAAGTCAGGCGAGTTAAGACAGCTGTGGAGGAGGTAAAATCCCCTAGCCCTGTCTCTCGCTTGTCAAAGTTACACCCTTTTGAAGGATCAAGGGTACACTTCTAGTCTTGTAGCCTACAGGAGTTGTCATTTGAGCGCCCCTCAATGGTTGATGTTTATCTTAGCCACTTTGACATAGCAATTGGCCTTTGCTAGATGACAATTTACCCTCGGTTGCTATAACGAAAGGTGGGTCGAAAAAAACGTCTTAGAACTGCAAAGAAAGGTGTGGTCTGCTTGAGAGGGTGCGTTTGACGCAAGTCATCACACGCACAAAGTAGGGTGTCAGTGGCAGTTAAAAGGTGGCCTTAAAGTTTTAGCTGTCATTTGGAGGCTGTGGGTACGGCGTATTAAAGCCATTTGTGTGGTGGACATGCGTTTCTGCCCCTACCTCCCCATCCTTTGTTCGTTCATCTTAGGCTCTCCGCGCATGAAGCAGCGACCACAAGATTTGGAGGGATGATAAGGCAAAGCATCCCATCTTGGTGGTGCTGTATACACTAGAAAGTGGTTAGTTTAGCCTTCTACGTACTCGTGGCCATTGTAAATGTCATTCGTCCACTCCAACAGCCATTAATCACGACGTCTTACCACGGCATTTATTCCGGGGCATGAGTAACCCCAGATCATCAAGTCAACCGAGGGCTACAAGCTGAGTGATGGGATGCTCAACCACCTAGGGCATTTGAAGGGTAGATAGGTCTCAGTGGCAAAGCTGTCCCACTGTGGAGGATTCCGGGTCACCGGGGCGTAGTAATACTGATGAATCACTGTGTGGGATGCCTGAGCTTGTATGATTAACACATTTGGTAGGAGATATGTCCTCCCGTACACAGGGTAAAAATTTGTCATTTTAAAAGGTTATCTCGAGTAAATCAGCTGTACTGACAAATCTATCAGATTTGTCAGATGGAACCTCGATTTTTTTTAAAAATGAGACTGCAATGAGTTGTTTTGTCTGTTAAATTAACTTCTCGCCTTTTTCACTTTTTCGCAACCGTTAAATCCCCTTTTAGTGTGAACAGGCTTTGTGTGTGTCTGAAAGATGAGAATGCCAAAAGTGACAGAAAAAAAGGCAAATTACTATCCCCTCAATTGCCACAAAACGCGAGTATCATCGCATCGCTTGGCTTCGGTGCAAACGCGGACGTGGCAACGAGGCTATCGATCGATTCCCGCGCTAATACGCACGCGTAAACGCACGCACGCATGGTGCACACGTGAGACCGTCTCCGGCTCTCTGATTGGTACACTAATGGTTGTTGGCTAGGGCATTTAGACCAGACCCGAAGCCGTAGGCTATCGAGGACCTTTGTCCCCTCCTCTAAAAAAGACAATGCATTCGCGTTTATGAAAGGCGTGACAAGTGCAGTTGTCATCTTTACGTTTCACTACCGGTGAATAGGTCAAGCAAAAGGCCCGGTTAAAGCTTTTATCTCTAATCCACAATGGCACATATAGGGTACAGATTTCACTAATAACTTTTTCCTTTATTTTGGCACAATACAATAGTCTACCCAACTGCTTAAAAGATTTCAGGCGAAATTTGGTATCCGCTTTGACTAAATTATTCATGAATTTAGGAACTGAATTCATTAAGCCATTCTAGCTAATCAGAATTGAGTGGGTCGGAGGGGGAAGGGGCAGACGGGAGGTTGAAGAATTCAAGTATGAAGAGATTTTTGTCCAAAAATGGCAAATTGACAAGTTAGTTGTCAGTTTCACCTATAGGGGTGCTTGATTAATCCAGATCACTTAAAGTCAGTCAAGTAGGGAGAACAAGTCTCAGCGTCAGTGTCATTGTGAAAACTCATTGCGAAACGCAAACCCGAAACGCTCGAGCTCCAACAATGGACGGTTCTTTTGGGCCAGAAGATGAAACGCTTCAAAAAGAACCAAAAAAACATCTGATCAACCGATTAGCTTCCATATGCCTTCAAAATGTTGACTGTTTCATGAAACGGTTCCTTGAATCGCAGAACTTCTGAACCCACCTATCGCTCGCATCAGAAGCCCTGAATACCTGAAAATGTCTTCCATGGCAGGCGTGCCCATTCGAAGAACTGCATGATTCGCTTAAGTCACTACAGCCTAGAACACGCCTTCATGAAGGCAGTCGAGACACCCCCAACCTAGAAGTCATGATCCTCACTCCTCCTCTTCCCCGAAAGTGGATGATTGCCAGTTTATGTCAGAGGGTTTGAGAGGTCTTAAAATTACCATTGGGAACGCCTGGATGAACATCCTCCTCCACACAACAAATAACACAAAGGTAAAGAGAATCCACCTCTGGAGTGTGCTTTTTTATTGACGAAAAGAACAACTACAGCGCATCGAGTAATAAAAGGTGAGGAACAATTTAGTGCGACAAGGCTAAGGTATCAAATTGGCTGTAAGGAGGAAGTGGAGGAGGTTGGGGGGAGAAAATGCTGAAAACCGGTTAATCAAACAGGCGATAGAGGAGGGGAAGAGGACTGACGATCGACGGCTTACATGGCCTGGATGCGTTTACGTTGTTCCTCCAATTCTTCCTTAACAGCTTTTGGCAGGTCCACACCCACTTGATCATCAAGGAATTTGGTGGTTTCCTCAATGTCCTCCAGGAGATATTGCTTTTCCAGACCAAAGATGGCATCCCAATCGCAGTCCAGTCCCTCCATGTTGATTGAACCCTTTTTGGGCAACAGACCGATGGGTGAGTCAACAGCGATATCCTCACCCGAGACACGACGAAGAGCCCATTCAATCACACGGATATTGTTGCCAAATCCGGGCCAAGCAAAACGACCATGACTATCCAAACGGAACCAGTTGACGTGGAAGATGCGAGGCATATGACGACCTGGCTTCTCCATTGACAGCCAGTGTTCCAGGTACTTGCCGAAGTTGTATCCCATGAATGGACGCATGGCCATGGGATCATGCATTACCTGACGACCTAGAAATGAATTATTAGCCAAAGGCATTTATTCTCCCCGGTCAAGGGATGGAGTAGGACCTGGAAGAACCAACATACCCTTAAATTCAGCAGCGGCGGTAGCCTCGGACTTAACCTGGGCACCAATCATCACACCATGCTTCCAGGTACGGGCTTCATAGACGAGAGGAATACCCTCAGGTCTACGACCGCCAAACATGAAAACGGAGACAGGTACGCCAGCTGGATCTTCCCACTTAGGATGAATGATGGGGCACTGGGATGCCGGACAGCAGAAACGTGAATTGGGGTGGGCTTTGGGTGTAGCGGTCTTAGCACCAACGGTTGTCTTTTCACCCAGCCACGTTGTGAGCTTGATCTCGGGCTTGTATTCAGACTCTAGACCCTCCCAGAAGAATCGTCCATCGTCAGTTTCAGCCACATTGGTGAGCACTGAATTCTTCATGCAGCATTCGAGAGCGTTGGGATTGGTCTTATGGTTGGTTCCTGGGGCTACACCGAAGAAGCCGGCCTCCGGGTTGATTGCTCGCAGTTCGCCCTAGAAGAAGGGGATGTTGGGACAAAAATTGTCATTACCTTGTCGTTGAATCGCATCCACGCAATGTCATCACCAACACACATAACCTTCCAACCAGGAAGGCTGGGTGTGAGCATAGCCATGTTGGTTTTGCCGCAAGCGCTGGGGAAAGCAGCACACACAAACTTCTCTTCACCTTTAGGGTTGGTGACGGACATGATCAGCATATGCTCAGCCATCCAGCCCTCATCGTAGGCAATGCGGCTGGCAATACGCAGAGCAAAGCACTTCTTTCCCAAAAGGGAGTTGCCACCATAACCAGAACCGAAGCTCATGATCAGACGGTCGTCAGGAATGTGAGAGATGATTGTCTTCTCGGGGTTGCAAGGCCAGTTATTTATCACCTTAACGCCTAAGCAGAAAGTTAGGAAAGAAACAAAAACGGACAAACCTACCTTCGTGCGGAAGAGGCAGGCCGATGGAGTGAAGACAGCGGACGAAAGTATTCTGCTCCTCGATGTAATCAAGGACCTTTAGCGACATACGAGTCATGATGCGCATGCAGAGCACAACATATTGAGAATCGGTAATTTGGATGCCGTATTTGGCCAAGGGAGATCCGATCGGGCCCATGGAAAAGGGAATGACGTACAATGTACGGTCGTTCATGCAGCCAGGGAAGCGATCCCTAAGGGATTCGTCAAGATCTTTTGGCGAGATCCATTGGCCAAGGATGCCTTTAACGCCTTCAGCAACATGTGGAACAGTTTGGAATCTATCTGGCGTGCATATAAAGGTCTTTGACTCGACACGAGCAACATCCTTGGGATCGGTACAGCAGATGAAGTTGTTCTCGTAGGCAGCTAATCTGCGCAGGGTGCCGCTTTTAAGAAGTTCGTCAGTGATCTTATCGGCTTCGGCCTTGCTACCGTCGCAGATAAAGATGTCCTTCGGGGTACAGACATTAGCCTTAATAAGGGTGTGAATAGAGGTTGTGGCGTAGAACATACCCAATGACCAACAAAGGGTTGGGCAACTTGGGGAAGATCGCTAAACTTGCCCTTACAGAACGGGGCCTTAGGCGTGACGGTCTTCTCTTCCTCCCACAAACTTGGAGACATGACAGCGAAAGAGGTGTAAGTACCGAAGCAGTCAACTAAGGTGCTTATATAAGTATAATGTACAAGGTGATGCTCAGTGGGTGAAGATAAACAAAAGTCAAGGTCGAAAAATTTGCAATTTATGGTAGGCTTTTGATTTAGTTATCCCAATATTACATTGCAATACAAAAGTGTTTGAGGCACAAAATTAATAAAAATGCAAAATTAGATTTTTAAGCTCTGATTACACTATACATTTATAAAGGATCTGCGTATGGTAAATGTATCCTCTTTTCAAACAAAAAAGTCTGATTAGTTGCGTAAGTTATCATTATTGGTTAAAAGCCTTGCAGTAGTATTCAACGATCTTCAAATATCCGATCACACAATTTAAGTTCAAAGGGCCATTTGAAATCACATTATTGAGAATGTGGCAAATATCATTAGTGAACACTGCTAACTACCGAATTTTGATTTTGGGAAGCTTATGCAAAAATGTGAAATCTCTTTGGCCAGTAGGAGCTGCCATCTTACCTCCAGAGAAGGCTTAAGCGATAAAATATTATCCTTGAAGTCGCAAGGGGTCACAACAGAATGCAGGGTCGAGTGTAATACGATGGCGAATTATCCCTCAGTATTGGTGAGGCGCCACTTTCGGATTTTTGAATTTGCCTTTGTGTACCTCGCTGGGTGGGCTGGCCTTGGGGCCATACCAGTAGCCCAAACACTCTCTCTGTGCTGAATACATATATACATACATTCTGTCCCAGTATTGTGCCTTCTTTTGCCTTCAGGGAAGTCTCGGGACAATTGCTGCAGCAAATGTGACTAAAGATATTATTATAAGGCTCGAGAATCATGTCACATATCAATTGAAGATACTTTAAAAGGTGAAGAATCTACGTGTCTGAACATAAGTTAAATTAATTATTAAAATAATTTGTAGCTCTTTTCATATTTTTGAGCACTTGCTTTATCCTTTTTTAAGGTGAAATTTAATTTTGGTAAAGAGACACTTCATGTCTCCTCTATCGTGCCTTCAACGGGTGAGTCTTCTAGTTTAGGCATGAGGAATCAATCCCGTATCCATCTAGAACTGACATATTCAGCTCAGATATTATGCCTTCTCTCATCTTTAGGAAAGACTTGAGGCGCTAGGGTATATGTAGGTCAGCCAGTCTGAACGTAATTTTGGCTAGATAAAGTCACCTGCAACTGGTTAATGATCAGTTATTTTCCATCCGGCGTCAGACTATAGATCTCCCGATCTAATAATTGGTAAAAGCTGCCACTGTTTATATTTTTACATCTAGCAACTGCATGTCCTTTCTAATGGACGGATATACTAATCAGTTTTAAAACTATCAACTAATATTTACTTGGTCACGTGGTTCCGAATTGCTAGCGATAGGAAAATCCACATTTCCTTTGAATCCTTATAATTTATGTTAGGTTTAAAACATTTTTTCGTAGTAACAGACAAAGGTAAGTCGGACTAAAAAGAAGTGTCATGCAATTACCGGCAGCGCCTTGTTTAACTAACTGCCTTCCTTTCAAAAAAGGGATCACATGAGCGCATTTTCAGTTTCAACTTTTGCAAATGAGGTCTGTAAAACAAGAGTTATGATCAAGACTTAGATTAAGTTGTAATACTTATGTTGTTTTAATGTGCCTTTCAGGGAGGAGGCAAGCAGAAAATTCGAACCTGGGAACGGGATCGCCCTCTCCCTTACCTAGTGACTGCGCCT